GTCGATAAGGGTGCTTCTCTCGATTGCTGCTTTGCACAATCTTGAGATTCACCAAATGGATGTCAAAACGGCATTTTTGAATGGTGAATTGGAAGAAGAAATATACATGGAACAACCTGAAGGGTTTGTTGCACCTGGACAAGAGAGAAAGGTGTGTAGATTAATCAAATCCTTGTATGGACTGAAACAAGCTCCAAAACAATGGCATTTGAAATTTAATGACGTGATGTTGACAAATGATTTCAAAATCAACCAATGTGATAAATTTGTTTATGTCAAGAGTACGTCAAATACATTTGTGATTGTATGTCTATATGTAGACGATATGTTGATCATGTAGAGTAGCCATGAAGTGATCATGGATACGAAAAGAATGTTGAAAAGAAATTTCGACATGAAAAATATGGGTTTGGCAGATGTTATTCTTGGAATAAGGATTATCAAAACCAGAGATGGAATTATCTTGTCACAATCTCATTATGTAGAGAAAGTGCTCAAGAAATTTGATACCTATGACGGTGCACAACCTAGGTGTAAGACACCCCTTGATTTCAGTATAAATCTGGAAGTCAACAAAGGTCATCCAATGGCTCAGTTGGAATATTCACGGATAATAGGGAGTGATGTACTTGACAAATTGTACACGACCAGACTTAGCCTATCTAGTGAATAAGTTGAGCAAATTTCCGAGCAATCTCAGTCATGAACACTGGAATGCTTTGAGAAGTGTACTTAAGTACTTGAAGTACACCCTTGAGTACGGATTAAAATACTCAAGATATCCAGTCGTACTTGAAGGGTACTGTGATGCAAGCTGGATATCAGATTCCAGAGATTTTTTTGCTCCACTAGCGGATATGTTTTCTGTATTAGAGGAGGTGCAGTTTCGTGGAAATCCACAAAACAAACGTGTATAGCTCGGTCAACGATAAAATTGGAGTTCATCGCTTTAGATAAAGCTGGTGAAGAAGTCGAGTGGCTTAGAAATTTTTTATCTGATATTCCATGTTGGGATAAGACTATGCCGCCTGTGATGATTCATTGTGATAGCCAAGCTGCTATTGATAGGGCGCAAAGCAACATGTATAACGTTAAGTCTAGATCCTTTGACTATGGTATTGATAGGGCGCCGTACGTCAATTGATCACAAATGGTATTATTTCCATTGACTATGTGAAGTCTAAGGAAAATTTGGCTGATCCTTTGACGAAAGGATTGAATAGAGATCAATTGACAGTTTTGCTAGAGGGAATGGGATTAAAAATCCTTAATGTAAAGAATGATCATCGTTGTAACCCTACCATGCTGAGTGGAGATCCCACGAACTTGGTTCAAAGGGAAACTAAGCTATGAAAATTCAGTTGAGCACTTGGAACAAATGAATGTCCAAAGCTATTCCCTAGAGCACCCCAAGTGCAAGATGACCTGTTGATTGTGGTAAGGGTAAGTCATATGGACTTTTAATGAATCCCTAACCTTGTAAAGGTGGAGTATTACATGATACTCTTGATATGCAGGTCACCTATATAAGTGTGAAGTGTGGGCCGCTTCAACTGTAAAAACTTATGAATCCATTGTGTTGTCCATGGCCAAAACGGACACAACGTTAGAACTGAATGGAGTTAAGACTCTATTGTTTGAATGTCATTGTCTCGGTGTATACTATGGAGGAATAGTTCAAGGCATTATGTTCGCTAGGCCGCCAGTGCTTCCGATGATGTTTACTAAGAAAGGTTCAAAGTCAAAAACTACCTTTTCTGATGCGATAGAGTTTTATGAGGATTGAGCACAAGAGTTTGTATATATGTGTATTTCTTTACTTTCTCTTTTGTGGGGGATTGTTAGGAAAAGAGATAGTAAAGAGACACTTGCCCACTTGTCCAATTGCACACATGATGGCCGCCCAAATTCCACATGATGGCCGCCCAATTGATCAGCCAATTGTGATTAAAAAAATATTTTATTTGCAATTTGAATTGAAATTGGCCATCTTCTGTCCTCTGTTTTCCAATAAATAGAGGGGCTCGACAGATTGTAAGAACACACGAAGAAGAGAAAAAGAGAGGAAGAAAGGAAAAGAGAAAGGAAAAAAAAAGATAGATAATATCCAAATATCGGACATAAAAATATCAAAAGAGAAGAAACAAGTGATATTTTTATTTGTTTTATGATATTTTTTTTATCTTTAAGTGCTCAATTCTCGACTCCGTTCTAGTTCGCCGGAGCTCGTAAATCTGGTGTGCTACAGGTTTAGAGACGTTTGTCGTTGTATCTTTGGGGAAGTTACGCTTGAACTGTTAGTAACCCACGGGGCGTATTCTTCTTGCGGAAAAGAGTTTTACTCGTCCCGGCTAAAATCTTTCCGTTTTTTCAGTTGTAATTTATTTTTTCAGTTTAATTGTAATTTTCTATTTTTAGATTATTTGTAAGAACTCAAATATACATATCAGTTCGTAGAATTCCCGTGTAATTTCACGCCAAGTATCCAACAATATTTAATTATTATATTCTGGTGGATTGTTTTTCATCATGCATATAAACTATGAGATAATCCATCATTGTTGCTTCTCCTTCATAAATCAAATGTCATTCCTGATACTGTCAAAAGCAAAAAATGTAAGGGCTGTTTGGTGCTAAGTGCAGACAATGATTTAAATGCTTTAGACATTCATAAACTCTCTTCCAATTTATTTTGCAGCATAGTAATAACAAACATGCCCTAACCTTTAATATAACAAAAGTTATTATTTTAGCTTTTGCTTTTGCTTTTGTTATGGATCTTTATCTATTACTAATAATGTTGAGGATTGGATTCTTGATGCTGACTGGCCTCTCAGCTTTGGCATGTGGTTTACTTCTTCAAGGGTTTTCCTGATTCTATAGTGTTTATAGATTGCTATTATAATATAAAATCCGCCGTAGATAAAGCGCCATCTGCTTTTCCAATATGAAAAATTGTTTCAAGAATATTGTTTGCCTTTTCTAATCGTTTAAAATAAAGGTCTGCACTTACATAGTGCATAGCTGAATCATTTTCATCTTCTTAGCAGTTTTTTTTTTTTTTTTAATATTTTTTAGCAGTTTCTTCCAAGCCTTTTTTTTCGAAACGATAAATATATTATATATTAAAATGCACAATTGTGCATAAGCAACCCAAGACTGAATATTACAACCCGAAACTAGAAACTGAGAGGACGGATCAAAAGACCGCCTAGAGCCTCGCTAGCCACGCTAGAATAAAAAATACACAACACACAACTAAAAGACACTAATACACCAACTACAGTCGCTCCCCACAGGAGAATAGAAACGCCCCCCACAGAAGAATCAGTACTGGGGCCAACGGCCCAAACCTAAAAAACGAGACCAAAAATAATACAAACACAGACTCAAAAAATACCAAAACAAAACAGACACAAACAAGCAAAAAAACTAAAAACATAAAAACAACTCTTCCCCAGCGAAACGAGCAAGCTCGAACTAGCAGTGAACGATCGACCCAAACAAATCCAGGCCAAGAACCTGCTACCGAAACTGCAATCAAGCCATACAATAGCAGGATCATAGCTCCGACCAAGTCCCCGAATCGACCCAATCGAAACCGAGAGTGCCATAGTCCTTCCCACACTGATTCCGCCCGAACTCTTCTAACACCACTAGACGAGACCGATAGAACCTCCCCCGCTGACTAACACCACTAGACCAATAAGGGATTGTGCGAGAGAATACGGCCCTCACCCCGACCACCGCGACTAAAACGTCGCGGCCATCTGAGTCCCGACCACCCAAAGACCCGCACACCGCACGACATCTCCACAGAACCCCCGACCAAAGATTCGATCCCGTCAGGAAGCTAAAACTCCACCGGAGACATCCCAACCATCGCGAACTAGAGAGAGAAGAGGAACTTACCATCATTAATCGAAGTAGCGCCAGCAACATAGAGCCTCCACCACCAAGATCCGACCGAGCTTGCTCGTTATGTACTTTTTTTTTTCCAAAAAATGCATAGGCCTCGTTTACTAGCTCTGATTGGGATAAAATGGGAGAGGACAATCTATCCTATGACTTAGATTTGGTCCATTATTTACTAAATAGGAAATAATTTCTTAAAAAAATTGTCTCATGTTTACCAAAGTGGATAAAAGTATATGATAAATACATTAAACTACCGATTTGACTATCGAAATAAAAATTTAATAAATTAAGTAATATTATTTTAGATTAATTAAAATTATTTTATAGTAAAAATGTTTTTAAATTAAATAACATTAACTAATTAATATTTTAAATATTTAATAATTTTTTAAAATCAAATAAAATTAGTTTAGATAAAATAATATTATGTTAGATTAGATAAAATTACTTAAGTTAATAGTTTATAAATTCAATAATATTAATTTAAATTAAATGAAATTATTTTATATTAAACAGTATTTTTTAAATTAAATGAAATAATTTAAATTAATATTTTATAGATTAAATAATATTATTTTAAATCAAATTAAATTATTTAAAATAATATTTTATCAATTAAATAATAATAAATTAAATTAAATTATTTTATTTTATATTAAATAATATTTTTAAAATAAATAAAATTATTTAAAAATGCATTACTCGATCACATTATCACAACTTCTCAAATTCAACCAACAGTTATCAACCAGTCTTACAATACACCATAATCCAAGTTCAGAAATGAATAAAAACCTAAAACTAGACTGGTCCACCACTCAAAAGAAAGAAATAAAACAACCTAAAAAGAGAAACTAGACCTGGTCAACCAAATAGCCACATAAAACATGCAAAAACTCCCCCACACTTAAATTCAGACAATGTCCCCATTGTCGACTCTCGGCGAAGGGAAGTTGTACTACATAATCAACCGACTCAACAAAGAAGAGAAAATACAGAAAATAAAATAAAAATAAAAGAGAAAAGAAAAGAAAAGCTGACCAACACAGTGACAAGTCACTGTGGTCCTGGACTATGAGGAGGAGGAGGATAGGGCTGGCCGGCGCCGGGACCAAACTGAGCATCCCACCGGGCCTCAAGAGCCTGAAAGCGCGCGTCGAAACCCCGCATGTCTCTGTCGTAACGCTCCTCGAACTCCGCCCACCACGGAGAAGGCTGGGACCACCAGGCGGGCGGTGCAGACGATGCAGCCGGACGCTGCTGATGATGATGTGTGGCGCGGGGCGCTCGGCGGTCGGGCTCTGGAACAGGCTCAGGAGCGGGCTGCCAACCGGAAGGAGGCGAAAGGAGACGGCTATCATCGAGAACAGGCTGATCATGCTACATCTCCTCCGGCTCATGGGTATAATCGGTATCCTGCTGAGGACGAGACGAGCTTGCCCGAGCTGTGGAAGCGGCTGCACTCACTTTCTTCATATAGGCGGTGTAGGCCGAGCACCTCGTATAATCCTCAAAGGTGTGGCGATCACATATGAGGCCCGAGTGAGTTAGCTCGTAAGCATCAATGAACCGCATACTAGTAGGAGGGCTGCCAGACGCCACCGGGTCAACATGGAAGTGCAGAGCCAGAGCGGTCACTATATGGCCAAAGCAGGCTGCCGCTCTCTTGTTCCGAAGGACGGCCCGACACTCGTCCTTAAAAATATCCAACATATTGCGGCGCTTCCTGTAACACCTCTCTTTATCGTAAAAATCAGAGTGCGAAAATTTCGCAAAGTTATTTAAAAATAAAATCTTTTACTTTGCGAAAACTGATTTGGGGTGCTACCTTAAAAACGTGACTTAATTTGGAAAATTGTTACTTAAATTTTTAATAAAATCATACAGTTACTGAAAACATAAAGTTTTCCAAAAGTCCATTCAAAATATAAATTCGTCAAAAACCATCGTCAGCGGAAGCGTAAATCGTCATAATACATTTACAATCAAAACATAAAAGTCCTGAAGCCTTCGTCAGCTCACGCTCCCTTGCCTGACATCCTGACCTGAAAAACATGATAAAAGTGGGAAATGAGCACTATGGCAC